CCTGTCGGCGTCACATACCCCTTCAACACCACGTGCTGTGAACAGAGTGTCTCATCCTACGATGCTATCATCTGATACCCCACCCACAGGAAATGTGCATTCAGATGCACCTACTACAGGGACTTCGTCTTCTGGAGAATGGGATCCTCTAGTGCAGTACGTGGTGGTTCGCCGAGACTTGGCGTCTGAGTTGCAGTGGCCTCTGGGGGCAGTAGTGGCGCAGGCATGTCATGCTGCGTGAGTTTCACTTTTGGGAAGAATACCAAAACAGAGAAGCGCTTAGCTGTTTCGATCTAACCGCCTGAAATGAGTACAGAACATATCAAAAGGGCTGCCTACTGCGACTGCCCAAGGAGAAAACACAGTTATCTACTGGATCACAACTACGTACTGGGTAGTGTTCGTTTCCTTATAACTATGCTCTCCGTGAATCAGATCTCAAATGTGACTCTTGAGCTAGAAGGGCTTCACCCATCGTTCTTCTACTGTGCATGCGTGTTTCTTCTTCTTTGCAGGGTGGATGCACTGGGGCTGGCAATGGAACAGAGTAGAGAGGAAGCGAGGAGGTATTTGGCAGAAGGCAGTGGCATGAGGACTGTAGTTCTGCAGGTCTCAGATGAGGGCGAGTTGCTGAAACTACGGGAGAAGCTTGTGCAAAAACAAGTCGGCCACAAGTTGTGGCAAGAGGAGCCGGAGATGATCCCCACCGCACTGGCCTCTATACCGATAAGGAAAAGTGCCGGCAGGGTTTTCAAAGGACTCAAACTTCTGTCGTAGCGTAGTTGTTGTACGAACAGTTTAATACATACCTTTCAGCAAGCAGGGCCCTCGGTAGAACACCCCAGTCGAGACCGACAGAGTAACCTACGTCGGGCTTAGTTAGTGATGATACATTCTTACGTGACCTACAGCTACAATCTCGTCGTCCCTTCAGGATGCAGCTACCCTTTGAGACGTTGCTGCTGCTCTAGAGAAGGACGGTCCAGCTGTAGCATTTTAGTGGATTTTATGACATGTAACGTTCAGGGAGTATTCCTTTCTTTCACTTCCCAGATAAGGTCACTATAAATGCTTCCCAAAAGACTTCATTCATAGCGTCCAAGCGCCAACCGGAGCGCATGCGCTCTGCATGGGTATGTGGACAGTACTAGCTGATTGGGGAGTGCCATCTGAAAGGAGAAATACCTGCTGAGGCAAATTCAAAGAATATATATTGCTTTATGGACAAACTTACACTTCTCATGACCTGGACATATGTTCAGTGGGGTCCACTCGAGGTTTCGATGTACTGTCCGTGAGTTAGCGTCGGAACCACACACAAATGCGGGGAAAACAATTTAAATGAACTGGAATTAAACTTTGTCAATACTGTGAACTCGAAGCTTCCTAAGGCAAGTATTGAACAGCTGCTCTGGGCCCGTTGCATGTGGACTGGGTCGGCGGCGCGTTCGATTGGCGGAGACGATACGG